TTAAAATTTGAAAATGAATAGATTAAAGAAAACACATTGGTTTGAGTATTAAATTATATTCAATCGTATATGGAGCCGAGGAGTGTGCACGGTATGTGGTGGTACCCCTTAAACAAAAAAAAATTCTTTGGTTATAATGCTTTTAGATTCTGAGCGAAGCGAGTCATTGTGTATAATGTATAACACAAGTAACCTGACAATTTTTAGTTTTTTTAATAACTTTATTTTGTGATTTATGTTGCTAAATGCAATACACTGCATAGTTTAATATATATATATATCATAACAATAATATATATTTTATACAGAGAGGTAGGTGATTAAGATTAACAGAAATATTTGAATAATGTTAATATATTGATTTTGCAGCGGAAGGATTGTCGTGTAAATTTGGGATGGGTCTTGTTCATGTGAATTCCTTGCTAATTAGTTGCATAATATTTTTGTGGAGGGAGAGGACTTTCGAAAGGTATGTTCTAAATAATTGTTGTAACATATCTTTGACGACGTATAAACTATAAAACTTATGTTTTCATATGGAAATTATAAATAATTACATATTCTTATTATCCAAAATATTTTGAGAATTTCGTATTTTTTTTCAAGTAGAATAATTAAGCCGGATAGTCAAAGCATATCATTAAGTTATATCTAAATTTTAAATAATGAATCCATTCATTTTTTTTAAACAAGTAAAAATGATACAATAAAATAATAAAAATTAAACTAATACAATTTTAGCATCCATCTAACTATTGCTACTATGAATACTTCATCAAGGTTACATCAACTAATATTTATTAAATATTTAAATTATTCACCTTGACACTGAATCTTAACATATGATTTTTAGTATCAAAGTCAAATATATTTATTTTAGATCCCGAAATGTGTAAGTTAAATAAATAGTATGTATAAAACATGTATATTTGCTGATTCTCAAGTTCCTGCACTCATATAATTATAGCCATTTACTCTTAGATAAATGATAATGTTATAATATCTAATAGATCTAATCAGTAACCATATATCTTAAATAATAAGTAAATAATATCAATACTTTATCGTGTTACCCTAAAATAGGTAATTAATAAAAACAATAAAATTGTGATAACATTTCTAATTTAATTTATAGTAAAAAATAGAGCTATATTCCTATTGTCGCATGTTAATATTAGTATCTAAGTACTAAATATTAATCAAAAATAATCACAACAAAATCTTTATAATTTAAAATGTTAAGATAAAACAAGTTAAGTATTAAAGACAAATAATATGATATAATAAATTTACGTGTAAAAAAAATTTATCAAGGTTTAATTTTTCTTTTAATTATAAGAATTTGATTTATCGACTTTGATGTCACCTACAATAATTCTACTTATTAAATCCAATTAAAATATATAGTTAGGTACCATTTTGAAGATTTGATTTTATAATCTTACGTATAATATCCACTTTGTCAGTAACACATTTTTTTAGACGAATAGATATGTGTTGCCGATAAATTGCACTAACTCTAACCTTGAATTCGTCACGAATTGTTGGACTTACATACAATTTTTCCATCTATATAGCGTCTCTTAAAGTGAAAACAATTTACCTTCTAAAATATTCGATCCTATTACTATAATAATAATTGAAAAGATAGCAATACATAGTATCTAACAGTGCAATAGTACGTACTATTATTAAAATTAAAAAAGTATAAACATTTTCGTGCAAATTAATTATAGACAGAAAAATATAAAATAAAAATATAACTACATTAAAAAAACAGAAAAGGAATATAATAGTTTATTAATTCATGCCTGGTTATTTAACTATTTTCATTATTTATTTACAAAATGAAATTATATGAAACATGCAATAACCGATGCAACTACTATATGAGCTTAATTTTCTAATTTCAAATATTTTAACTTCACGCATATAAAAGTTAGAAAAAATAATAATAATGTAATACTTGAAGTAATTTGATTATATAAAGACTAAACATGAATTACAGTAATTATTATATTAAAATGTCATAATTTTTTTTTTTCTATGTGAAAAAAGAATCATTGACGAATTTCGTGGGTATTACAGTTTACGTGTATTATTTTGTTGTGTTTTATATCATTATATCATATCATATTTTCAATGTAATGATTTGTAAACCAATACATGCGTGTGAGGGTCTGCATGGGACATTTTAAATCAGTAGACTCAGTAGAGCATATAGGTGACCTAATTTACTATATGTCTATACTCTATATGTTATATTATGTACATTTTATAACGTATATTTTTCAATTACTTATTCGTAACAGAAAATCGAATTTCGTTGGTAGATAAAATTTAAATTTCTAAGTAATAATTATGTCAATTTTTCAGTTATTCTTAAAAGAAACTTACAAATTTTATTGAAATACATCCAAATTATAGAAAAATTATTACAACTTTTGTAAAATGTAATACTTCTTTTTTTAATAAAATCTTTTTATTTAATTTACGATAATCAATCCATTAACCACATATTATAACAAATCAAAAAAATTAAATTATTTGCTTACACTTTTCTGCAATATTACTTTATTATAATGACATACATTATAGTTATAGTACAACTTTATTTAACTTTATTTACAGCTTTAATGAATTCATTAAACAAAAATAACAATTTTATAATATTTAGTTTCATATAGGTTGGTTTAACACTTAAACTCTTCTTATGCCTATGTGAACGTGCGAACTACAGAATACAGTCTTGGTTATGGCTTCCTCGGTTACAACTCTAAGGCATAGCAAAAAATTTTCTTACGAATCTATGGTATATTCTATTGACTCATATAAACTTATATTGTGCATTTAATTATATAGAATATTTATTCCGAATAAAATCAAAAAAAAAATAATAATAATAATAATAATTTCAAAACGGCAAAAAATATTTTTATGTTAATCTATTTTAAATAATATACCAATCATTACTATACGACTATATTGTATATATATATTACTAACTGGATGAGCTTTATTTTATATTTATAATCGTCTAATAAAAGAATATATTAATATTTAGGTACATGTCATTATTATCTGAAATTTTAAGCTCTTATCATTGAACCACACACAAACCATGAATACTCCTATTAGAATTTTGTTTTGTTCTCAATCAAAGAGTTGATCTGTAAAGGGCGATTTTAAAGAATAAGAATAAACTCTATTCATATAGTCATCACAAGTGCCAGCATTAATGCTGAAAACGCTAAGATTTATGACGTATAATATGATATATTATGTTATCCTTTTAAAGTATTATATATTATTCGTTGTGTATTCAGTAGATTATAGTGTTTTCCAATAAGCAAACACTAATACATTACGGGGACTCATCGTGTTTGTGAATTATCATTAAAATTAATTTAAATTTGAAACTGAAAAAAGTAAAACTGATTTAAAATAATATAATTTATGATGAAATATTTAATTACAAACAATAAAAAAAGAGGGTGAGTAAATAGAAATACAATTTAAAATTTTATTACTTATTATTATAAACTGTTTAGAAAATTATAAATACAGTCAAACTCGCTGAAGACGCTTTTTAAGGGATCACCTCTATAGAACGTTTTAAGCGGGAAAGCGTCTTATGCGGGAATGAAAAAAAAATGAAGTGATTAATGGAATTAATTATTTTATTATTGAATATAATTGAACGGGAAATACACTATTATATTAATTATAATTACATACATACATATATTTTTTACTTCTAAATTTAATTTAAAAAAAAATTATTATTACATATTGTATTATTGTTTATTAAAAAAATAATCTATTTTTGTTTGCTTACGATTCTGACAATACGTTTCAGCGAGAAAGTTTTCTATTTTTTTAAGACAACCTAATATTTCTTCAACATTTTCTACTGAGAATAATATTTTTCAAATTTCTGATAGGAGTTATAAATCATTTATTAAATTTCATAATACGACGGACTACAGTTAAACTGTTGTGAATTTGTGATAGGTAATGATAAAATAGGTACAGCGATTAAATAAAACGATAAGAACAATCAAACGAGTACAATTTATATTTTTATTTTCACAAAACTACGAAAAATTATCGTATTCTGCTGAATAAAAGAGCGTTTTATTCGATAAGATAGAGAAAACTTGAGCGTCTTAACAGGTGGTTTTTATATTGACTAGTATAGGAAATGTCTAGGGACCGACAGAAAACAGCGTCTTATGCGGGAAAGCGTCTTAAGCGAGTTTCACTGTTAATTATAAGTTGTAGATAATAAAACTAGTATTTTAGTTCGATTTTTATTTTGTAAATAAGACTATAAAGAATATGAGCTTACCAAAACGCGGAACTTTTATCTTATAGTTATAAAATGATATAATTTAAGAAGAAAATATTAACATGATATATTATTTCTTGATAAAATATAAATGTTGTTTTTTTCCATACTGCACATAACATTTTAACCGCGTATATAAATGACTGCGTCGTAAAATTAAGCCCACGCGTTTGCATCAAGGATATAGTAATAATGTATGAGACGTACATACCTAATATATTATAAAATGAGAAAATATAAAACGTGTAGTGTACTTACTACTTACCTATTCGTTGTGGAAAGAAATTATAAATAATTTGAATGCCAAAATATTAAAAAGAAACTATACCTGTTATAGAAACCAGAAGTGTATTCAAATCAAACAAAGGGATCTTGTATACATATTATTATAAATATAATAGGCGTCTATAGCCGCTTAGTAAGTGCACCGATTGTGTGATAAAATAAATGCGTTATTTAGAAAACATTAATAAGTATGATTTAAAATGTGAAATACGAGAGTTTTATAATTTGTTCTATTGATATGTGGCCCATTTCACATTAAGAGACTCTATAAAGTTTAAATACTGATTTATTATTTTTGAGGCTTTAATAGAAGGAATATAATATTATGTTTGCAATTTTGGATTGGAAAATGAATTTAAAACCCTTTAACAATAATAAAAATTCCATATAATATTATAAAATACTAGATAACGATAACAATAAATTTCGATTAGGGTTTAGATAAGTCCCAGTACGCAATCTTGCATGCAGATCGCTCAAAACAGCTGTTGACGTCCACCGCGATTCTGATGGCGGTGATGGTGATGACCATGGTGGTGATGGACTTGAGGGTGGTGAGCGTGGTTTTCGTAGTGGACGTGTGCGTTGAATCCATTGTGCTTATCAGCCGTATACGTCACTTTTCGGATACGACCGTCCGGTTCAACCAGGCTATAACCACCGTGCACTACGTCTCCGTCCCGTTCCTCCCACTGGTGTTTGTCGTCTTTTGTGTGTGGGTCTTTGACGCCGTACTTGAACGTGTACTTAGGTGGAGACTATGGAAACGATGACATTCTGATTACGAATACATTTTTATACAAGAAAGCGGGATGTCGAAGTGGTGAGTTAAACAGCGAGCGGTTTTTAACGTCTCACATACCTATCTAGAAAATTCTATGTATACCGTAACACCTTAACAAGTTTAATTTATAGACGAAAATATTTGTGCGAGATTTTAATGCTTTATACCGGTGTCAATTCTTTTACACTAACTTCGAAAACGTGTGTTTAATGCAATGAACTTTGGTTTAAAATATATCCACATTTCTACGATTAAGTGTTTTACTCTTGATTAGAGTCTGATTTACTAAAGTGTGTTGACCCAATAACACTTAAACTATAAATAATGACGTAGAAAAGCGTAATGTTAGAAATCGAATTATAGCCTAGAGATATATCGAATAATATACGTTTCCGATAACATTATTGATTAAAATGCTATCACATTACTATATAACTATTATAACAACATTATCGTCGTTTGAGTACATAAATAATATCTCACGTTAATTGTGTATATACGTACGTAATAGTCGTGTCCATGGTGTTGGGTGTGATGGAATATCGGATGGTAATAGGCGTACGATGAGGCGTCATAGGCAGCCGTCAATGTCGTCAGCGCGCTCAGGGCGATCACAACAATCTAGAAAATTAACAGCAAATCAAACATTTTGCGTTTGAAAATTGCACGGTTTCTTGGAGATGTGACGAAATGACGTATATCGTGCAATTCGTGTGCATTTCGCGTGCATATCGTTTATTTTGATTACTATTCATAGCGATTTATTATAATAAGACGAGATTTAGCGTAAGTATACTGTACTAAAACTTAGGACAACTTCAATGGAAAATAAATTTTACTCCTTATACACAGTCAACTAAATTTACATGAACGCGCGTTAAACAATAATAAAATACTTAAATATTTTAGTAAAAAACTTCACGGGATATGTCAGTTTTGTTTTATTAATAATTTATTCTTTTGCAGTTTTGCCATGCATTTATAAAAACGGAAAAATACTAACGTTTATTGCTTTATAATAAGTAATAAATGTTAATGAATAGTGTCATACTACTGATATTATTAGAATCAATAACAAACACGAAACCGTTGTTAAAAAAGAATATATCGATAAAAAATAATATAAGTTATAACTTTAAAGTTGAAAATGTCAGCTACATTGGCATAATCGTTATTATATTATATGTACATTTATAACAAATATTTTATTTACTTACCTGTAACATACAAGCCATCGAGAATAAGTTCTTAATGTTCTTATTTTAAACTGATTGAGAGATGTTGATTGATTGAGATAACTATTACTGTTTATTCATCAAATGCTCAAAAACAACTGATACTACTACAATGAAATAATTAGTATTTATAGTTTATTATTTTATACAAGTATGCAATGGCTAATACCACCCAAGAGTTAAATTATGTTGAAATATCTGATTACTCGATTCATGTTTTATAGAGCCGTAATTTTGTATTGGGTCTGCGGTGGGTGCATTTACGGTTCATCAGTTAACTCAAACAAAAAATGCATTATAATTAGGAACTTATTTTTGTAAGGCCGTTGGTGGTTATTTATTAAGTATTAATCATTTACGTATGAATGGCAAAAATGATCGTGTTTACACATTATGCAATATTGACATATAGGTAATAAAAAAATAATAGGCTTAAAAAATAAGCAGGAAAAATTACAGACGTAAAAAAGAAAATCAAATAAAAATTAAATTCTTATTTTATAAAACAATTACATAATTTAACATAATTACATATATTTATAATGTTTATTTCGCATGATCATATATAATATATTTGATTATCTCACATTATATTATTTTTTAGAACCTAACTTCTGATTTAGTGATCTAATCCAAAGTTTACAACTATAATTAATTTTTTTCGAATTTAATAATAGGATATGATTGAACAAATAATATTTATGTAAATTTAATAGAAGTTTATTATTAAAACTATAACTTTTAAAATTAATTATTTAAACTTTCATGTTGTATCAGAGAACCAACAATTTCAGCAGAATGACTATGTCAGATGTAACTACTAAATATAAAGTAAGGTATTTTTTTTTTAACGTTCGTTAAAAATATACAACCTATAAAATATATTTAGGGTAAGCATATTATGTAACTATAGTTAGTTTTTTAAATTTTAGACTTTGAATAAAAGATTAAAATGATTATCTACTACTTAGCAGTAATATTATTGACAACGTTTATAAATTTAATTTTAATTTTTTTTTTTTTTTATGTTAAAAAAATTCTTTACTAGCTTAGATAACTTTATCTTCTTGAAGGATTATCTGGGATATTGTCAATATCAAGAATAAAAATCAATGGGTTTGAATAATTTGCATAACAGAAGCGAAAAAGTTTGAATCTAAATTTCTTAACCTTTTTGAGTTTTTAAATCTGAGTGGAAAGAAGACATTTTATTTTGAGACGTAAAATGATACATTTACAATCATACGTAAAGATATAAATTGATACGTTTGCATACTTGCAACATCAATGGTTATAAAATTTTTATAATTGGTCACCGTAAGAATACATAAGTTTTAGAAGATTTTATATAGTAGGAGCTTATAGTTTAGGGTAAGTTTGGAGTATTATTCTAAATGGAAGTAAAGAGACTTACAACTGGAGTTAAAATAGATAATTTTTTTGTTTAATTCATTCCATTTAGGTTAGATGTTTGGATAATGGAGATTTATGGAATAAATTTTTTATTAGAAAAATACGAGAGTTTAAGACTAAACATAATATTAATAGACTTATAACTATTTATTATAAATTTTCATTTAGAATATCACAATTCTATAAAATTAAAATGATTCGATATTTGATATTGAATTTCGGGCGAGTAGCCTATGAGTTATAACTGTTATAACTATTTAAAGTTTTGATAAGCAGAGTAGCAGGCCAACATTTCACGGGGTATCCTCATGCCTCACAACTTCGCTTACATATGATTTAAATAATTATAACTCATAAACTACTCATCCGAATTTCAATTTTTATAAAAAATATTCCACTTTAGAACATGAAATTAAAAATGTATGTTGTCACTCAAAAAAATAAAATCTATAACGATAAAATATATTTAAAAAAATATATATTTTTTTAAAACTATTGTTTAATTTTAACTGAAAATTATGTAAAAAAAATATTTTTAAAAACATCAATACATTTTGAAAAAATTAATGCTGTCTGAGAGACGAAATAACACTATAGTCAATACTAGCTAGGATAGAAAATAAGTTTGAAAGTTCAAAACCTTTATCTTAGTATCAAAATGTATTATTTTTTATCATGAAAATATAATTTAAATTTGCAAATCACAATATGTTTATTGGAAACATATTGTATACTATAATAGTATAAGTACACTGTTTTCACGTACTTCATAATATGTCAATAGTTTATACTTTATAGTGTTGTACCGATTTTTGTACCCAATAAATTTTAACCATAAATATTTATTATTATTATTATAATTAGAACGAAATTCGTTTACGAATATATTGTTAATATACAATGATATTATATTATCCTCTATGCAATTATTATTATCGCTCCACAAAAATTTATCTATTTTAAATAATTTATGTATATACATATAAACATGTATTAACAATTTTTATAGTCATATAAGTAAACGAATTACTATAAATATGAACAAAAATAATTAAATAGTACCTATTATTAAATATTAAAGGCGCAAGTTAATGTGCTACGGTTACAAACGTACAATAGTTATTATATTTATTTATTAATATCATAAATTGTAAAGTGACTATTAGAATCACATTAATGACGAGAATAATAATTAAAATATACGTTATAGATACAAACTATAAATTTACAAATAATAAGTTAATAATAATAATTAATAATTATGCATGTGCAAAATTTGGCATTGTACCCCGGTCAGTGACAAAATATATCTTTGAATCATATTTCGCTCAAAAACCGTGGTAGATGCAGATGCGGACTGCAATGACTTCGGTTATTGATTGTTAATTGTTATAGTCCGGTCAAAATAGGTGTTGTGTGTAGATAAGTGAGGATAAAATACAGGTAATATATAAAAAATTGAATGTTTAATAAATATTAGGTTTTATTGAATCAAAATACTAATTAAAATGAATTGCACTTGTCACTCGTGATGGTCGTTGTAGGTTGTTGTGACAGACCTGGTACTCAATTTGTGGTCTTAGCCGCCGATTGGTACGCAGACAGTCCGCTCGGCCCCCCCCCCCATTTAATTTGCAAATTTTAATCGTATTTATCTACATAATAAATAATGAAATTTATCTACTTTTTCATCAAATAAAGTAAAATAAAAACTAATAATATTTATAATTATTAGATTAGTGGTAAACATTACTGAAAAATTACACAGTCATTCTGCTTAAGTTATTGAAATTATAATAATTTGATAAAATAGTACGCTAGATTTGGTTAAAATTCATGCATTCTCTGGCTAACTAACAACAGAATGTATACTCCACAAATGATAAAAAAAAATGTGTGTTTATTTTTATGTCCTATTTTGAATTAAATATTTATTTATTTGATTGTTTTGATTTACCAACTATTTATACCTGTATAAAAAAATGCGTATACCGAGGCCGTATTGTATTTATGATGATTATAAAACACTCGGTATCATATAGATAACTGATAAATGTAAAACTATGTTTACTTCGATAAACGCAACAGATTAACTAATAACCAAGATATTACCATAAACAAGTAAATACGTAGATGAGACTGGTAAGTGCATGCAGCATAATGTTAGTGTGCACACTTGGATCTTAAACTATCATCTATCAGTAACATATTATTTTATCTAGTAAAATCTAAGTATGCAGTATACCTTATAGATATTTATTATATGCATAATTTTAGATAACGTATGAATGAATTTTTCTTTTATTATACTTAAATCGTTTTTACAATTAGAAAAAAAATAAGAATATTATAAACAAAAATAGCATTGGAACTTTTAGCACCGGATAACGCGATAGCCATTAAATGAGAATTTATTGTATAAGGAAAGTGTGATATATTTTGGCATCATTATCATATTAAATTTAACAAAAATCTAAGCTTTTAACCCTAACATTCATGAATGATTACCTTTTTAACAGTTTTAGAAAATTTTAATATCTTATTTTATTTTAAATTTTAAAAAATGTTCTAGAAAAGTATAAATATTATTATGTAATTCAAGTTTCGTTTTGAACCATTAATCATTGTAATAATATTGCAATATTTATTTATAAATAGGTAATTATACGCAACATTGGTTTGCGACATAGTGACTGGAAGTAAAACAATTTTTACTGCCACATTATTTCCAATAGAAAAATAGATAGGTACATAGTTAATCCAAACTAAACCATTGTCTGATACCTAATTATAATTTATTTTTGTATTGAGGATTTCAAAAACAACAGTATACAAATATACAATCATATATATATATACACGGTACGATTTGTATTCGTTTTAAGATTTATTTATTGGGTTTCAGCACTGGCTGGCCTCCCTCCTCATGTTTTTTCAAATTAAATATTGTACATAAATTATCAAATTTACTTATTGTGCTAAATCACAGATTGTAAATATTCTTTAAATCAAAAAACAAAAAAAAACCATTTATTTAAATATCAAACATTTTTAATGCGGACAAGACTTGTAAGCCGCACTGTGGTTTACACGCAGTATGATTAATGAATTTAATTTTCGTATGTACCTATATTTTGCAGTCTAGGAGTCAAGGTTTTTCTAGTGAGTGTCAATTTAAAAGTTATACATGCAGTACAGTCGCCTACTTAAAAATTAAGACTTGGTAGCTATATATTATACGTACATTATAAACTCAGATAAGGAGCAATATTGTAAAATTCGTCAAAGTAGGTAGGTACATAATTATATGTAGCGACTGCGTATTGAATAAATCAACCTGTAAAATTGGATTACTTTTTACTTTATACCTACTGTGCTGGTGTGCTGCAGTAGGTACTTAATTTAGTACCTACTTAGAATTATTATCAATAGCTGGCACCTATAATATATTATTGGATTCGTTTGCAGTAGTATTGCTTAATCCGGACAAAACACGATATATCTCAAAATGAAAATTTTATTATGTAACACCACTGATTCAATAACAAAAATAATCTTTAATGATATAACAAATCGTTGACATAAACATAATAAAAATCAATAACAAAAACAATTGCAGCGATACACGATATAACAGTGCATACGCCATAGTATTATTATAACGTCATTATGATTAATCTTTCATCGGTTTAGCCATGTCTTATATAGTTCGACAACAATCATTCCTCTTCGTGGTGTCCGTAGTGTTGCGGGTGGTGGGCGTGATGCACGTGGTGGACGTGCGCGTTGAACCCGTTGTGCTTGTCCGCCGTGTAAGTCACCTTGCGTACACGACCGTCCGGCTCCACCACGCTGTATTCGCCGTGCACTACGTCGCCCTCCCGGTGCTCCGACTGGTGTTTATGGTCGCCAGTGTGCGGATCTTTGACGCCGTACTTGTACGAGTAATGGGGAGGTGCCTGCAATAAGTCCATACGAAGCTCGCATAATTTTTCACGTTGAATATCGAAACTATATTACACGAGATCGCGACAACGATGGTTTAATATTAAGAGGTCGTGATTCCCGCGGGTTTCATGTCTGAACTGACATACAATTATACAAATGTAGATGTACGATATGGAAAATTTGCGTGGTCAGTGGAATCCATTTTGTGTCATTAATAAGTTGTACAGTGAGTTGAATCATCGTCAAATTTAGAAGTAATAATATTATCTGTATTCTCTCGTCGGATTTTTTATTTTTAAATATTTATAGTCTAAAAAAAAGTTATAAACATTTTAAAACTAATATTTTACATAAGCACACAAGTTGCTTTTAAACTGAAATATAAAATACCCATAAGAGAATACAAACAATGTATTATTTTCTTGAAATTTGAAAATACATCAATTTACTATAATATTAAAATCAAACGAAACAAAATAAATTTACTGAACGCAAACAAGCCATGTTGTACGTTTATAAAACGAGACGTCTTCTTAACAGTATATTTTATATTGAACACCAAAGAGAATATTTGGGATATATTAATAGTAATGCTCTTACGTAATGGTCGTGTCCATCATGATGGGTGTTTTCAAATTTTGGATGGTAAAACGCGTAAGATGTAGCATCGTATTCAGCAAAAGTAATGGCCACTAAAGTAGTCAATACGAGTACAGCGACCTGAAAATTAAATACATTTAATTTTAAATTGATAAAATATAAAGATTAAACATTTGTTAGCGTTTAATAATAATACAATTTGCTTTGTCAATATCTAATTATTTTTCTTTTATTTATTGTAAGTATATAAATATATATTATAGAACATTTATAAGTAATTTAATATAGATAAATAAAATATAAGTTTTAAAATATACGAGTATACTTTACTAAGAAGTATCGTATAAATAAAAAAATATATTTAACGAATGGGTATATATTTAAATGTAAATTAATGAATCAATAGTCAATCGTAAATATAATACAAAAACTGTTGTCTTTCCAGAGTATAAAAATATAATATGGTAACTATATAGTGATATTATATGATATAACTATTGTAGTACACTTACTTGTAACATTATCTTCACCATCTTGTTTTCACGGTGATTAAAATGGTTTGATACGTCGATTTTGGAACGATACACGATAGATAGTGTCTAATAGTAGTAAGTTGAGAATACTCAGAACGATTGATGTGAAATGATAAATAGTCACCACTGTAGACACGTATTTATACTAAAATCCAAACCATTTTACATGATGAAATAATACAACCAATAAGTGTACGAGTAGGCATCCAAATCGTTCCATAAGATAGTTTAATGTGTTTTTCTAACCTCTGCGGTGAGTACATTTCCGCTTCGGCAAGTTTGGTTTGACGAGAAATACTTTATGAGTTAACATTATTAAAATAAATAATTATTTTTAATATTATCATCGGTGGCGCTAAGGCATGAGAGGTCAGCCGCGGTTACTGACAACACCGACATACCACAATATTGGTGATATACGCATTGCTTCTGCTCAGACTTTTGTAATATTCCATTTTATTTATTAGTATAATATGTAGGACATATACAACTTTATTTGGGACATATATTTTACGGTGTCTGAAGGTCCACGAGACCAAAATCGTTCAGACGCGTCCTGTATTTGTATGATTTAGCCATCCTATTTGGAGTCTTGAGACGGTTTCTGAACCTCAGCAGTTATAAATCCTTCCATTACGTAGTCATGTTGAAAATGATTTGGAATATTTTTGACATTTAAATCTGTAAAATGTTTGTGTGATCTCTGTTAGTTATTTATTGTAACATTTATAACTGTCATTTATTCATTTTCATTAACCTAATTATAACCTAATACATAAGCTAATATATTATGCAATATTTAACAATAATTATTAATTAATTATAAATAATACATTGTTATGTTTGTTTCCAGTTGTTGTTTTACTTGTTTTTACCTAATCTATTATGGATGTAAACATTGTAAACAAATAAGTACTATAAGAATTTAAAGACTGTATTGTTTCATATTGAAGATAGTAATTTGTTGTTCTTTTTAGATTTGAGGTTGAACAATTTAAAAAAAAAATCGAGTTAATAATATAGTTATTATACGTTTGTATTTTTTATAAACAAATATAATAATACATTATACATATTTTTATATGATAAATACACAACTTATATTACTCATACAATATATAAAAGTTAATTTGTACATTTTCAGAAAAAAATCATTGAATCTTCAATTACTTAAAAAAAAAAAATCATATTTTTGTATCTAATATTTTCAAAAAAAAAAAAAAAAATTATGAAAAAATTTGTGTTTAACTTTAAAATCGTTTAGTTGAGTGAAAAAATTTCTCCAAAATGTATAGAAAAAACAACTATATCAGGGGCGGCCAAACAGTCGATTGCCGGATTGCAAACGATTTTAAAGTCAGTCGTGTTAGAATTTATTTTTAGGCTACATACACGAAAATTAATTATGGTGGTATAGTAACTTAATAATAATAAAAACTTTTTTATCGAATTCGATCTTCAAAGGTAAAGCATATTTTTAGTAGATCGCGGTCGAAAAAAGTTTGACTGTATCTGAACTATATGATAAGTAGTTATTTCATGGTTAAATATATATTATCGACAATTTTGAACTTAAAACGCTTATAAAAGCGTAATGTTCCATAATTGTAATACTATTTATTTTTTTGTTTTAGGTAGAAAAACGTATGAGAAATTTTGTATTAAATTTTCAAAAATACATAAAAAATGTTATTTCATATATATGTTGAAAAACTAATGAAGAACCTTTTATTAAATTTTCAAAATCTCAGGTATAAAAACACATATTCTTATAAAATTTCAACTATGAAATAATTTGTAAATATTTGTGATTTTAACGATTTTGATATTTTTTAATTGATCAATGAACAACTTACAAAGAGCTCTGTATTTTAAGTTTTTAAACATTTTTATCAAGCAAAAAATGTTGGTTGACATTTATTTGTATTAATTAGGTACTTCAAAAAATCAAAACAGATTTCACCAAAAACTAGTTTTATTTAGAAATTCCCATTTTTCTTTAATTTACTTTCTGAAAGTAGAAAATCTGCTTAAAAGTTTATTTATTAATCAATAATTGTCTTGATATATTTTCACTTGCAAATCAAACAAAATGTGGGAAAATAGGCACTTATGCAATATAGTAGGTGTCTAGTGGGTCAGGGTCACTGTAATAGATAAATAAATTTTAATTCAATTATATACTATTGTATATAGGTATATGAAAAACGATTCTGAGCGAAGACGGTCTGTCAGAATATATCTTTAAATAAGAATTCATGATTTTTTTTAATATAACTTTTAAAGTAGTTTATTTTATTTTATTAGTACTACAATAGATTGATTTAATTTTTATCCAAAACATTCTATTAATTATATTATATTATTGTTATTCAATTTTAAGCCAAAATTGCCTTACTGTATAACAGTGTGAATAAGTTCTTGATATTCATAAGATCATAACACGCAAATACAAATGCTAGTTTCACATAAGAATTCCCGTTTTTTCTTAATTTTTGTTTCCTAGTTATTTTTAAAAGTACTCTATTAAAGCCAATTTCTTTACCATAAATCACTCTCAAAGTTGAAAATCAAAGCATTTTTACTACCTCAAAAAGTTAGGTTAGACAAAAAATAAAATAAAAAATAAACACTTATATTTTTTTTAAATTAATACATTTATTAGTCCATTTAGAATCTAAATAAAATTTACGATTTTTATTTATTACCTTTATAATATATAAGTAGTATAGACTATAGTCATCATAGGTAATTTAGTTATGAATAGTTTCATTTGTAAACTATTGAAAATGTTCAAACTTTAAACTATGTTCTTCTACGCATTAATGTAGAATGTAGATACCTTTATTATTTATACTTAATGCCACACAGTATTAGTGCTGTGAAAAAGAATTCGAAATAGTATTCTCATCATTTACAGTGATAGTATTGATAGTAATTAGTAACTATAATCACACTGTGCTACATTGATATCATCAGATCATCCAATTATTAGATAGATATATTATACATTCATAAGTATATTTTTTTATTAAAATATGTCCCGAAAATTTGAATGATAGATAACGAAAAGATTTAAATTATCCTAGTCATCTCGATGTAGAAGTAAGTTAATAATTAAGGAGTCATACAGGTTTTATTTTAATTTTTAAACAAAGAATACAATTAAGAAAATGAATTAATAAAATATTTTTTTATTAGGGGCTTATACATCTGGGATTTTTTTTTCGACGATAAAATCTAATCAAATTATAACCAATAGGTAAGTATTATTTAGTGTTAAGTATTATAATGTTTTCAATGAAATTCAATTGATCTCTAGAATAGGGGCTATTAAATGCGGAATGCAAACAATATTTATCTCAATAACTTTATAATATGACTTATGTGTAATATGTGTACCAACATGGAAATAATTCTTTCTATACTTATAAAATTAATAAAGCGTTTTAGAAAAAAAGGTTAATAACAGTCCATTATTTTGCAACTTAAAACGCGAATCTGTCACATTAATAATTTTAATGCACTCACATATTACTATTTATTATAGCAATTTATTTTGTCAGTTAACTTTTTTTTAAACCCAGATGCATAAAGTTAAGTTTGCTTACTTTATGTATTGTATACGTCTTAAGCGATACATTTTCAAAAATCGTTAATAAAAATAAAAATAATAGGTATCTAGTTTTATTGTTCAACAAGTTATTACTTTTTTGGATCAGCATGTACATTTCCAATTTCCATACTATAATGATAATACTACAATGCAAGTTTAATGGCAACATATTTCTCTGGAGTTGTTGGCAGCACTGTAACAAATACCAACCGCAATGAATGATACCATGCGGACGGTTAGTCCGGCGTTTCGAAGATATCAGAGCATGGCAAACCGAAAAGAAATATCACATAGACATAATACAAACAGTTTTTTCCTTCCTTCCTGGTGCTACCGTACGGGCATGCGATAACGTTGTCCGCCGCCGACCGACCGATACGACAACGAGTAACGAGTAACGACACTGTGACTGTAGTTGCTAGCGTCGCTGTGCACGTTTTGCGCGGTTCTGGCCTCAGTAATAAGTAATAGTAATTGGTATTTATTAATCAAAAATCAATCAGTGATACATATTGGTTATTATTATTTATTACATATTTCCATCTTCGTTTTTTTTACGATATCGTGCACGCTTGTTGTCGCATATTGCCCTTACACGTGAATAAACAATACCATTGAACACGAGTTCGTTGTCTTCAACACCAAACTAATTCAAATAATATCGGTCTAATAATTGATCATAGACATGGCAATGCAACAGTTTTATACCGTCACAGCTCACAAGCCTACAGCAGTCGTTACCAGCATCTCAGGTACGTGATTTATAACATTTAACCCAAAACTAGTATGTATCATATCAAGTAATTGTTTGGTCACATCATTTTGTGTCGAATATTATTTTGTGTCTTATAGAACGAGCAAAAATTTAAATGCGTAACTGCGTTTATAAAACCTATTTTAATGTCAATTAATAATTTGGTCATTTTTTGCTTGATTTAGTGATTTTATGAAAATGTATACTGTTTCTCAGTATTTTTTATGACTGGCTACTCGCTTGTTGTATTGAAATTATTTCGTATACAAACATTTAACTTGAGTTTATTTATATAATCAGCTTAAGTATAAAATATTTAGGTTCTAAGAAATATTGTTAAGCACTCATTCAAGTTTATTTTCAAATATTTATCTTTTGAACAACACTTCATAAATTTTTAATGTTATACATCTGTTTGGCATAAGTTATTGATTATTTTTATTTATAACTAATAAATATGGCTACATTCTTGTTTTTAAAATTTTAGCAAATTTCACATCACCGACTGATCGTAATCTGCTTGTTGCAAGATTTAATCGTATAGATATATCTTTAGTCACTGAAGAAGGTTTGCAGCCAATCAAAGAAATAGCATTGTATGGAAAAATTGAAATAATGAAAGTTTTCCGTCCTAAGGTATGACATTAACTCTGTGGAAAAATTATATTAAGCCATAAATTAAACCTAAAAAAATGTTAATGATTAAATTTTTTTTTTTTTTAGC